AACAAAGTGTTATACAAAACCACTCTCTGCTGGGTCAGTATCTGTACGTGAAAATAAATAGAATAAAATGAAGAAAGAAATATCCACATAGGTGAATGCGTTCCTCCACTCCTCTCAAAAAAGAATCCTGAGCTACGGACCTCGAAAGAGCTTCTGGGCAATGTGCAGAGGGTTCCCAAAGCGGAAGTTCTCTCCACTGAACAGGGCGAGGATGAGCTCGTTTTGCTGCTCAATACTGTCTTCAGGAAAGCGAGGCAGAAACTGCTGGAGGTGTTCACGTTGAGAGTCACTTAACACTTCCTGCCATGTTGAGAGGCTGACGACATCAAAGAATATCTCAGGCTAGGAGAAATAGAAAAAATAAAGAAAAGAAAAATAAGTTTTTAAGGATTTTTTGTGTGTTTAGTACATACATAAAATTTACCATTTTTAAGTACACAGCTCAGTGTCTTTAAGTACATTCACATTTGTTGGGCAGCTATCATTACTCTCCAACTTTTTAAGTTTTTTAAACAAACTAAAATTCCAATGATCTTTACTCAATTCTCAAAACTTAGAGACTATTAAAGACTAAACATAAACTATAGCCTACACCCAACAGTACATAACAATCCAGAGGAAAATGATCTAATAGAGAGAATCCCACTTGGTAGCCACCTCTGCCAATAAAAGCATGACAGCGGACACGTGAGTTCAGCTTAAACTGAGTGGCAGGAAAAGGTTAATATGGCAGGAAAGAACTTGAGGAGTTGAAGGTGCCTGCTAAGAGTGAAAAGAAACAGGATGGAGTTCCATTTTCAACTTACTAGTTATATATTGGGTAGCTTCTGTGTGCCGAGTACTAAGCTAGACGGGCATATATACTGTCTGGAGGGGAACAATTAAACGTGCAATTACAATGCAGCTTAAGAAGTGCTGACGTGTACCAAAGCACACATGCCACACTTATGTGAGAAAACACCCACTAGACCAAGTGACATTTAAGATAGTCGAGGGAGGCCAGGCATAGTGGCTCATGCATGTAATCACAAAGTGCCGTAATCCCAGCACTTTGGGAGGCCGAGCCAGGAAGATCACTTAAGGCCAAGAATTCAAGAGCAGCCTGGGAAACATAGTGAGACCCGGTTTCTTAAAAAAAAAAAAAAAAAATAGCCAGACATGGTGGCACGTGCCTGGAGTCCCAGCTGCTCGGGAGGCTGAGGTGGGACGATAGCTTGAGCCTAGGGGTTCGAGACTGCAGTGAGCCATGATCATGGCACTGCAATACAGAGCAGGACCCTGTCTCAAAAAAAAAGGAAAAAAAAAAGACAGCAGAAGGGTAGAGGGACAAGGAAAGGGAAAAAAGATACACTGGAGGAGGTCAGAAATCCAAAACAGAGCAAAACCATACAAACTAAAGGAAAGTTAACAGAAAAGAAAATATAGCAGTTACCGTGAGGGGAATGGAGAGGGATGAGATGCGGAGGGGTAGGCAGTAGGTTTTTATTTTACATGTGGTATATTTATATTTATATGTGGTATATTTTACTTTCATTTTTTTTAAAAAAAAAGTTTAGGCAACATTTGGCTAGAGTAAGAACAGGGAGGGAGAGTAGGTAGCAAACAGTAGAGAGAAGCAAAGGACTTGTAAACATGTTAAATAGAGCCCCTGACAGGTTTAAGCAGGAGACAACAGAAATCCAACCACCTACACCAGGCATCTTTGCATGAATGTATCAAAAACACCTCAGACTCAATGTCCAAGGTCTTCCCCTGCAAACCTATTTTTGCACATCATTTTATTCCTTGCATCTATCTCAGTGTCTGGCATAGAGCAGGTACTTAATAAAGCAAGCATTTATGGACTAATGAGCAACACAAAGAGATTTCCTTCAAAGATGCAAAGAAAACATGAATGGGAAGTATAGATACCAACTGCAGTACAGCTGTTACTGCGGCTGGAAAGGGCACGCCCGTGCCTTTCACTTTATCTACAATGTTTGACATATTATGAAAGAAAAATGTGAAACAAATATGACTAAATGAATTATCTCCTAAAACTGGGTGCACAGATGCATGTTTGCTATATTATACTCTATACCTGTATGTTCAAAATATGGCAAAACAAACAAAACATATAATAAATGTTTTCACATACATCGTAGCTTACACATAATATACACTTAATAAACGGTAGCCACCTTAATAACGATGATGATTACAGATCTTGCCTGTGAAAGTGGCCAAAAGTGCACTGATAGCCTATCCAGGGCATGTACTATTATTTAACTAGATGGCTACCTTATGGACAGAGAAAATATGTTTGGATTTTGTTTAATGATTCACAACACGGTAACCATTTTCATGTAAACACAAATGTAATTCTGCTTTTAAAATATACAACCTTTTTTAATTGATGAAAATTATCTTGTTAAAAATGAGGCTTATATTATCAAGTTATTTTGACATGTTATTAAACATTCAGAATGTAGCTTATATTTTCTTCCTTAATCAGAATATTAAACAGACTTCACACTTAAAAAAAAGATCACTCTGCCTGTAATGTATAAAATGAACAAAAGGGAGCACAAAAAATTGAAAACTAGTAGAGAGTAAAAAGGTACAGGGGTGGGGAACCTGCGGCCTTGGGGCCACATGTGGCCTTCTGGATCCTTGAGTTCGGCCTTTTGAGTGAATCCAAATTTTACAGAACAAATCCTTTTCATAAAGGGATTTGTTCTGTTAAGTCTGGATTCTGCTGAGAGGCTGCACTGGAAAAGACTGCCACAATGTTACCACTTACATCCTCCAGAAGGTCCTCCGGCAGACTAACCCTGGTGCCTCCCAGCAGGCAATCCTCCATGATCCGCGCGCCATGGCCATCTCCACACGGACCAAGTTCCAGGGGATCAGTCAGCATGTGGTCTAAGGAATCCATTGTTTACTCCACAGGTACTCTAGACAAATATACGCATCTTGAGACAAGGCAGAAATCCCAGGGATCTTCTTGATGCAAACACTCCTCCAGAAAAGTATCAATCCCAAATCTATTCTTACACCCTAACTACAGCCAAACAGCTCTTCTCTCTCCCTTCTACCACCACATTCCCATTGGAACTTTCAAGTCTTACCTAGTAGGACTCTTTTCTCAGAATGCTTCTACGGTAAATCTTAAATTCATAAATTTCTTATACCTACATTTTATAGATGAGTAAAATGACAGTAAATGATAAACGGATCACACATTACATAATTTATACTTCCCAGACCAATAATCTCTCTACAACATAATCACTTTAATAAGTGTTCGTTTTTAGCAATTCTTTGTTCTTTCATAAAAGAAAGTTCACTGAAAATCCACATACACTAAAGCTCAGACACTAATAGTAACAGTTACTTCACGAGGGCCTATTAAGTGTCAGGCCTTTCATATATCTCATTTAATTCTTACAACCATGCAAGGCAAGGTTATTACATCCATTCTACAGATATTAAAACTGAAGTTAGATAATTAAGAAGTTGCCCAAACCCAGAGGCTGTACCAAAACTCGGGTCTACCTGCCTGCAAACCCATGTTCTTAACAGTATACATAATACCTCTTGCATAAATCTGCAAAATTTAAATCACGAAAAGGAAGCTTCTTGATATGACTTTGTTAGTCCACATAAATTCCTGAGGTTCCATGCATCTAACCATGGCAACCAGTAAAATCAGTGGCCAGTTTGCCCTTAGTTGGTCCATCTGATCTTTATAACCCTGTAAAGTGATGCTATTTTTCCCCTTCATGTAATAACACTGATCACCTTTAGAAAAGTACATACTAAAATATTTTGAGAGAGTACCTCACAAGGCTGATGGCTGGGATCAGGTGTAAAGCTGACAGCATAGGACTAAATGCTAACAGGACCACGGGGAGCTTGAACTCAAACTTACTCTACAAACACTGACCAAATCCATTCTCTCTAGCTCCTATTCCTACCAAATGAGCTAACCAGCATACCGAAATGGAAAAGGAAAAAGGACTTAACAGTTGAAACACCAGATTTCTAGCTCAGGTCTGCCAATAATTCTCAGTGACATTCCACAAATCTTACCACACCAGGTGACCATTTCCTTATCTGTAAAATGAAGGAGAACTGGACCACATCCTCCCTACCGTTATCTTCAGTTCTGGAATCCCGCACTGAATAATCTCTAGATGAGTGACAATTTACATTACTCAAGTACTTCTCATTTCCAAAATTCTCACATGATAAAGAGCAAACCTGTAATAACTACATGTAAAATGAAGGACCATTCCGCTAAATTATTTCGAGTTCTCCTGAAGAGATTTCAGATCTACATAAAGACACAGCAGAAAGATTCCTGTTGATCAACGAAGCTGGGTGGTCCGCAAGCAATTGTGCCCGTTTAGCACACGGTGAAATGACTTCCTGAACATGCCTGGTGCCTAAATAACTGAAGCAGCTGAGAAAGCACTCAGCACATGAGCTTAGTGAAACTTTAAAACATGAAAAAAAAGTAGAAGAAACCTGATGCTTAGAATAAAACCCCCTTAATAGAACTGGCACAGAACAGAGTATCAGCTGCAAAGTCAGTGTCCTCCCTGACTCTGAGGTCCATCTCTATTCTACACAACTTGCTCCCAAGTTTCTTCAGTTACAGTGGAGTCCAGCTAAACTAAATCTACTTCAGTGATAATCTTTGCCCTGCCACTATTCTGAACAGGATCTCGAAATACGAACAGCAGGTAGCTGCCAGGGAGCTGGAACCCCGGAAGCCAAGGATTTCTGAGTCTTGGACCTCCTTACTTCACCAGTAAAGCCTCTCCCAATGGCCTTTCCTCCGCACGTGAGCTAACTTTCCCTCCTGGACCCTCCCCAATACAGAAGCTAAACCCTTGGCTCCTTCCGGAGCAACTGCCGGCTCCAAATCCGTCGCCCCGGCAGCACACGCCTCTCTCTCCGACCCCGCCGAGGCCCAAGGGCCGGGTCCCGCCTCTCTAACCTGCGCCTGTCGCCCTCGCCCCTCCCCCACATCGTGCCTGCACCTAACCTAACTCCCACCCGCCCCGGCCGCCCCGCTCCTCCTCCCCTGGCCCACAGGGGCAGCGACTGCGGAGACCCAGCTGCCCCCTCCCTCCGCTCTCCGGGGACACTTTAACCCTTTCGCCGCCGCTGGCCCGCCCTCACCTGAACGGCGGGCGCGGGTCTCCTAACCCGCTGGCCTTCTCCGGCCGCGAGCTCCCGGACGCGCTCGCTCCCGCAAAACGTCTGGGTGCGTGCACGCTCCGGGCGCGGGCGGCGGAAGGGGCGGGGCTGCGCGGGGCGGGACCTGGCGGGGCCGGGGGCGGAGCTACGTGGGCGGGGCGGGGCGGGGCGGCGCGAGTGAACCCCCGGGTCCTAGAGCGCCCGGTTGGGTGTTTGGGATGCAGTTTCCAGCCGGCGTGTGCGTTTCATCTGGTTCTGGAGCTTCCCGAGGGCACAGACGATGTCGGTCTTCTTTGCCTCACTGTGAATTAAGGCTCCATAGCCCATGAGTGAGTGCAATTTTATTAACTGCCACTTTACAAAGAGCATACCCTGCTGCCCAGACACTACGCTATCCATACTCTTTGTACTGCAGCTATATGAGCTGTGCACTATTAGTGCCCATTTGACAGTGAGGAAATCGCCTTTTCTCGAGGTTCAGTGAGGAGATCATAGACCTCAGCCTATGTCCCCAAGTGTCCTTATTTCTCCCTCCCTTCCCCGGGCCCTGGATGTCCAGGAAAAAATGACACACATCGGAAAATTGCATTTTCAATTAAACTCTATAATGTTCCTCTTGTTAAATATCTAGGTCTCTTTCCTTTTATTCTCTGGGTTTTATTTAGAATGACTTCAGACCTGGTATTCCACAGTTACTCCCACCAGTCGTGTGGAGACTGCATGGAAATGTCAGCGAAGCCACAGGCCAAGCTAACGCTCCTCCCTTGTTGGAAAATAGTGGTTTCCAATCAAAGCCTATCCTCTGTTCCTCTGCTGGCTCCATGAATGCCCTTAGTTCCTGTTAGGTCGTTGGGAGGTTCTTGAATTAGAAACCGCCAAGCTAAGAGGCAGTGGAACATCATTCCATAGTTATGTCAGTATTTCCCTTACCTTGGCGCTGTGACCAGACTGGAGAGAGCAAAAGGGTTAAAACAGTGTAAAATATAATTTTTAATAGACTTTGTTTTTTAGAGCAGTTTTAGGTTCACAACGAAATTGAACAGAAAGGTCAGAGATTTCTCGAATACTCATACATAGCCTCCCCCGTTATCAAAATCCTCCTCCAGAGGTGGAACATGTCTTACAATTGAACCTACATTCACACGTCAACATCCACCGTCACAGTATAACACAGAGTAGTTTCACTTAATTAAAAATCATCTGAGCTCCACCTATTCATCCTTCCCTCTCCTCCACCCCTGGCAACCACTGATCTTTTTATTGTCTCCATAGCTTTGCCTTTTCTGAAATGTCATTATACCTTATAATGTATACAGTATGGAATTATACAGTATGTAGCCTTTTCAGATTAGCTTCTCTCATTTAGTAATACGCATTTAAGTTTCTTGCATGTCTTTTCACGGCTTGATAGCTCATTTCTTTTTAGTGCTGAAAAATATCCCATTGTTTGAATATGCCACAGTTTTATATTTGCTTACTGAAGGGCAACCTGATTGCTTCCCAGTTACGGCAATCATGAATGAAGCCAACTGCCAAACTGCTTTCCAAAGTAGCTGTACCATTTTGCATTCCCACCAGCAATGAATGAGTGTTCCTGTTGTTCCACATCCTCATGAGCATTTAGTGTTGTCAGTGTTCTGGATTTTGGCCATTCCAATAGTCTGCAGTGGTATCTTACATTAATTTTAGTTTGCATTTTCCTGCTGACATAAGATATGGAGCACCTTTTCATATGCTTATTTATGATCTATATATATTCTTTGGTGAGGTGTCTGTTAAGGACTTTGGCCCATTTTTTAATAGGGTTGTTTGTTTTCTGTTAAGTATTCTTTGCATATTTTGGATAACAGTCCTTTATCAGATGTCTTTTGCAAATATTATCTCCCAGTCTGTAGCTTATCTTTTCATCCTCTAGACAGATTCTTAGAGCAGGAATTTTTAATTTTAATGAAATCCAGATTATCAGTTATTTCTTCATAGATCATGCATTTGGTGTTGCATCTAAAAAGTCATCACTAAACCCAAGGTCATCTAGATTTTCCCCTATGTTATCTTCTAGTTTTATAGTTTCGTGTTTTGTATTTAGGTCTGTAATCTATTTTGAGTTACTTTTTGGTTTTTGTTTGTTTGTTTTCTTTTCTTTTCTCTTTGAGACAGGGTCTTCCTCTGTTGCCCAGGCTAGACTGCAGTGGCATCATCATAGCTCACTGCATCCTCAAACTTCTGGGCTCAAGCAGATCCTCCTACCTCAGCCTCCCAAGTAGCAGGGACTACACGCATGTGCCACCATGTCCACATCTGGCTAATTTTTTATTTTTTATTTTCTGTAGAGATGGGGGTCTCGCTATTGCCCATGCTGGTCTCAAAACTCCTGGCCTCAAGTGAACCTCCTGCCTCAGCCTCCCAAAGTAACAGGACTATAGGCATGAGCCACTGTGACTGGCCTTGAGTTACTTTTTATGAAGGGTATAAGGTCTGTGTCTATATTCATTTTTTGCATGTGTCTAAGTGTTCCAGCACTATTTCTTGAAAAGACAATCTTTTCTACATTGTATTGCCTTCATTCCTTTGTCAAGTATCTATTTAATATAGATCCATATTATCTATTTATTAGTGTGAATCTATACTGTATTTATATACTATCAGTATAGATCTATACTATATGTGGGTCTGTGTTCTCTATACTGTCTCATTATTCTACTCATCTATTCTTTCACCAATTCACACTCTCTTCGATTACTATAGCCTTATATTATGTCTTGAAGTCAGGTAGTGTCAGTCCTCCAACTTTGTTCTGCTTTAAAATTGTGTTGCCTATTCTGGGTCTTTCACCTTTCCATATAAAATCCAGAATCAGTATGTTGATATCCACAAAATAACTTGCTGGAATTTTGATTTAGTGCATTGAATCTATACATCAAGCTGGAAAGAACTGACATCTTGACAATGTTAAGTCTTCCTACCCATGAACATGAAATACTTTCTCTATTTAGTTCTTCATTGATCTCTTTCAAAGTTTTATAGTTTTCTTCATATAGATCTTATGCATATTTTATTAGATTTATACCAAAGTATTTCATTATGGGGCATGCTAATGTAAACGGTATTGTGTTTTTCATTTCAGTTCCTACTTGTTCATTGCCAGTATATAGGAACATGATTGAATTTTTTTTTTTTTTTTTTTTTTAGGGACAGGGTCTCACTCTATTGCCCAGGCTGGAATGTAATGGCATGATTATAGCTATGGTCACCTCGAACTCCTAAGCTCAAGGGACCCTCTTGCCTCAGCTTCCCAAGTAGCTAGACTATAGGCCACTGCTCCCAGCCATGACTGACTTTTGTATATTAACCTTATACCCTGCAAACTTGCTATAATTGCTAATTAGTTCCAGAAGTTTTTTGTTGATTCTTTTGGATTGTCTGCATAGATAATCTTGCCATTTGCGAACAGAGTTTTCTATCTTCCTTGCCAGTCTGTATAGCTGTTATTTCCTTTTCCTGTCTTACTGTGTTAGCTAGGACTTCCAGTACGATGTTGACAAGCAGCAGTGAGAGGGGACATCCTTGCCTTGTTCCTGATCTTAGTAGGAAAGCTTTGAGTTTCTCATCACTAAGTATGTTTGCTATAGGGTTTTTGTGGATATTCTTTACCAAGTTGAGAAGTTCCCCTGTATTCCTAGTTTACTGAGAGTTTTCATCATGCATGGGTGTTGGATTTTGTCAAATGTTTTTTCGGCCTCTACTGGTATGATCATGTGGCATTTCTTCCAAGCCTGTTTATGTGATGGATTACAAATCGTTTTCAAATGTCGAACTAGCCTTGCATAATAGGATAAATTCCACTAGGTTGTGGTGTATAATTCTTTTTATACATTGTTGGATTTGGTTAAATAATATTTCATTGAGGATTTTTGCATCTATGTTCATGAGATACATAGGTCAGTGATTTTTTTAAATATCTTTCTCTGCTTTTCATATTAGAGCGATGCTGCCCTCAGAATGAGTTAAGAAGCATTCCCACTGCTTCTGTCTTCTGGAGATTGTAGCAAATTGGTATAATTTCTTCCTTAAATGTTTGGTAGAATTCACCAGTGAATCTATATGGCCTGGTACTTCCTGTTTTGGAAGGTTATTCATTATTGATTCAATTTATTTAATAGATATAGGCCTGTTCAGATTGCCTATTTTATCTAGAAGTTTTTGCAGACTGTGTGTTTTAAGGAATTGGTCCATTTCATTTAGGTTATCAAATTTGTGTGCATATATTCATAGTATTCCTTTGTTATCCTTTTAATATCCATGGGATCTGTAGTGATGTCCCCTCTTTCATTTCTGATATTAGTAATGTGAATCTTTTCTCTTTTTTTCTTAGCCTGGCTAGAGGCTTATCAATTTTATTGCTCTATTCAAAGCACATTTTGGTTTTATTGGTTTTTTGGGTTTTTTTTTTTTTTGAGACAGGGTCTCACTTTGTCGCCCAGGGTGGAGTGCAGTAGTATGTATGATCATAGTTCACTAGAGCCTCAAACTCCTGGGCTCAAGCAATCCTCCTGCCTCAGCCTCCCAAATAGCTAGGACTACAGGTATACTCCACCATGCCTGGCCAATCTTTAAAAATTTTTGTAGAGTGGAGGTCTTGCTGTGTTGGCCAGGCTGGTCTCAAATCCCTGGCCTCAAGCAATCCTTCTGCCTCAGCCTCCCAAAGTGCTGGGATTATAGGCATGAGCCACCACATCTGGCCAGTTTCTTATTTTTTCTATTGATCTTCTGTTTTCAATTTCATTGATTTCTGTTCTAATTTTTATTTTTTTCTGTTTATTTTGGATTTAATTTGCCCTTCTTTTTCTAGTTTCCTAACATAAAAGTTCAAATCATTAATTTTAGATCATTCTTTTCTAACATATGTATTCAATGATATAATTTCCCTGTAAGCACTGCATCCCACAAATGTGTATGTTTCATTCTCATTTAGTTCAAAATGTTTCTAAATTTCTCAAGAGATTTCTTCTTTCATCCATGTATTATATAGAAGTATGCTCAATCACCAAGTATTTTGAGATTTTTCTAGCTTTGTTAT